TCATTAGAGACAGACTGAGGAGCAGAACAGGTGGATCTACTGAAATACTCTGCTGAGGGGAGCTGTGGGCCAGACAGGAGAGGTCTGCTGTGCCACATGGGCTAGCTTCCTGCACAGGGATCACCTGGGCCACCAGGGAGGCCTGAAAAAAATTTTTGAGCCTCAAAGTTTTGGGGTTTTACCTTTAAAATTCAAAAGAGACGGGCCTCCCTGGTGGCACAGGGGTTAAAATCTCAGTGCTATCAAGCTATTGCGTCACCGCAGCACAAGCTTGATCCCCCCGCCCAGGGAGCTAACCCACAGGGCGCAGCAGACCTCTCCTGTCTTGCCTGCTGCTCCCCTCAGCAGTGTATTTCAGTTGATCCATCTGTTCTGCTCCCTACCCTGTCTCTGCTGAATTCTCTCACCTTCCTGCACTTTTGGCCTACAACCCAGTTCTTCTATGAATAAATAAAAATAAATCTTAAAAAAAAATCATAAAAGGCAATGACAATGATAAAACAGGTGGAGGAAGATTTGCTTTACTCAGTGACTTTATGGTTTTAGTGTCTGCTTGTGAATTTCTCTGCCATGAAGCATACTTCGAGGTCACTTTTCTACTTGTTGAGAAAGTTATGTTGAATGTGTGGAGGGAAAGTGAAACAGGACCTGCAGTCACAGTCTCCCCATGTGAGGCCTCTGCTCTACCTGCTCACCCTTGGCCAGTGCCCCTGACTCCTTGGCTTCTGCCACCACCCAATGGGGCCCAGTGTCTTTCACGTCTCTAGCTCTCAGCTTCACTAAGCTTCTCTCCTAAGTGCAAACTCCCACATACACTAACCTCTTAAGGGCCTCCAAGTGCTGCAGACTCCAAAGTCGACCCGCCTCATGGAACCCCCTGACGTTCTCCCGAGTGTCCTTCCAGCCATTCCTCCACCCAAGCTGGACATAGTCATGTCCCCTACGTGCCCCTCGTGCTTCCTCTCCACAGAGGCTGACTCCTGTCCATCTGTCTTGATCAGTGAAACTGCTCCTCACCATCTCCACAGTGTTAGCAACGCTTTGTTCTCTCTCATCTAATGCAAAGGCCATGCCAGAACTACGGATTCCAGAGTGGGCTGTGTTCCAGCCCATGACGTCACTGAGGGGTTGCAGACCTGGGCAAGGTATTCAGTCTCACTGGGTCTCAGCTTCATCATCTGAAAAGTGAGGGTGATGAGTGCAGCTACTACTGCAGAGGACTGTCACGCGGATGAAAAGAGTCTGTATTTATAAAGCACTTAGAACGGTCTCAGCTTATAGGTTGCCATGGCTACTGTTACTATCAACTGCTACCACTACCCCGGTACTGTTCCCCTAAGTAACATCTGCTCCCCTTCTTTTCCCCCCTCAATCCATCTTCCACTTTGTTGCCAGGATTATTTTCCTAAATTATGAATTGGATGATACCTTTTCCCCTTCCAACGCTTCAAGGGCTCCTGTTACCCTGAGGTGGCGTCAAACTCCTGAATAGGCACCTGGTCATCATGCACCGGGTCCTGTGTGCTTTATTCTCCAGCCTCATTACAGTATGCCCCCTCCCTTAGAGCCGTTAACTCCAGCCATCGGGAACCACCTGCAAGGCCTCCCCCCACCTCCCCAGAGGCTCTTCTGTTACCCCACGCCCAGGTATGCATCTCCCTTTTCCTCAGGGTACTCTCCCCCCTTGATCTGGCTGGCTCTCTCTTTCGTTTCCCAGTTCAACCCAGTTTCACCTCCACAGATCACCACGCCTCTCTGTAGTCCTCTGCACCCCAGCTTACCTCTATTGCAGCATCATTGGTGGGGTTTTGTAATCACCTGTTGGCAGCTTCTTCCTCTCCATTGTGAGGTTCTTGAAAGCAGAGATTTATACATGTGTATTTTATCTCTGTACTCCCAAACCAGTTACGGTGTTGGCATATCCAGGAGCTTAATACCATTTTGCTGAGCACTGAATGAATTGACCAATTGGGGAAAGTGATGTATGACATCTATTGAAAAAAGTAATTATGTAGTCCAGTTTCCCCAGGGCAGCCCCACCTGTAAGCACAAACATCAATAGTGATAACCCCAGGGCACTGGCTCAGCCCCATGGGCACACACGGGGCTCCATCCCAGCCTAGTGCTCCCTGGGGTTGGAGAAGTCTTTTGGGGACATTTCTAAAATGCTCCTCTGGGAGCTGCTGTGCTGGAGGTGTCCCCTGGAGCCGGTGCTGAGGGACTGGCACCTTCCCAGTGCCAGGGTCCAGGGCGGTCTCTGGTAACCTTTGTGAGACTCTTTGCAGGAGGAGGGTCCCCAATGTTTAACAAGCTTTCCTGGTTTTTCTGTGGAGCTTGGTGTTCTCCATTTGGACTTGGTGAGGACTCTTTGGGGGGCAGTGTTGAGCTAGAGGTTGGTCCTCAGCATTATCCTCCTATCCCTCCCAAACAGGCAGAAGGTCAAGTTCCCCCCTTTCTGGCCCCTTATTTCCTTCTAATGAGTTCTCGTTCAGGAACATCTTGCTTCCTCTTTGACCATAGCCCTCTTCCGCATCTGTTCTGGAAATCCTACTAGAATATGTCTTCTGCTGGAATAAAGGCCTCACCCTCACAAAAGTGTCTGAGCAAGTCTGGCCTCTAGGAAGGCCCTGCTGCCCTTTAGGGTAGGGTAGGGGTGATTTTGTTGCCTGATTACTCTGGGAGCTCCAATCCTGCCTCCCCTCAGCCCCTCCATTCCCTGCCCCCCACCTTGTTACTGCCTTTGCTAAGGAGAAGTTCTTACCAGCTCTCCAGGGAAGGAACTGCTATTGCAAAACTCTTGCTTCATGACATGTAATGGGATGCAACTCTGGGTGGTCCTAACCCCAAGAGGCAGTCCCCTAGCTCTGGTAAGAGTCACATGGTTGCCCAACTACTGGCAGGCCATGTGAGATGGAGGGCACAGGGGTAGTATGCATGACTATTTAGGGCCACAGAGTCAGCCTTAAAGCCCAAATAGGCAGCAAATAGCCTTGTCATTGAGTGGGGCACACTTCTTCTGAAAGCCTATTTTCAGAAACACCATAATTGAGTACCTGGTAAATGACTCACAATTTGTGTAGGACTTCTCAAGATGCCAGAGGATATGAGCCCTCATCAGCTGTCTTTATTGAAGCCCAGCTGAAAATGCTCCACACACAGATCACCTGGACTAGCATCTCCCTTCAGTGCTCATGCTCAGGACTCATCATATCACCGCAGTGGTGGGGCGTGAAAGACAAAGGGGCCCAAACCCCCATGTCTGTGTCTTTTCTCCTGCCCCCCAAATCAGTGCTCTAGGGAATAACTGAGATGCCACACACTGTTGGTGTGTGTGCGTGTGTGTGTGTACAAAGTACAACTTCTTTGAGTAGTTCTTTGGGGAATAATTTAGCAGTTTCTTAAAAGTTAAACACACACACCTACCAGTCATTTCATTCCTAGGTATTTACCCAAGAGAAGCAAAGGTATATGTCTGCACAGACACTGATCCACAGATATTGTAGGACACTTATTTGTAATAGCCCTAAATTGGAAATAATCTAAGTACAAGATCTGGCAACAGGTAAATATGTAAATAAATCGTAGTATATCCATGCAGTGGAATATCACTCAACAAGAAAAAGAACTTTTATTTTTTAGAAAGGCACATACAGCACCTCATTTGGATATGTCTGGAGCCTTGGAAACCTGACTGCCCTATAATTTCCTACAAATGGATTTTGAGAACTTGTTTGGAGGTTGTAGCGGGGAAGTGCGGCTACTTGTATAACCTTGACTAAAGAATGATCCATCTCATCATGCTCAGCGAAATAAGCCAAAAAGAAAAAGAAAAATACTGGATGGTCTCACTCATAGCAGGAATCTAGAAAACTTAAATAAGGGACCAGGAAAATGAATATAAGAAAGTGAAAATCAAAATCAACAAAAAACTATGAACCAGAGACACTTTTTGGGGGGTGGGGGGGCGGGAGGGGAAGGATTGGGGTCAGAATGGGGCGTTTGCAATTGTATGGGGGAATATAAAAATAAAATTTATTATTTAAAAAAAAAAAAAAAAAAAGAATGATCCATCTCTATTGAGGGAGGCCAGGCTCTTCAATCAAGCATCCAGGTTCGGAAGGGACATACATGGAACAGTGAGGGAGGGAGGAAACAGCTACCAGCCACCCAGATCAGCCAAGTCAACGCTGGTGATCAGTAGGGGGACCAACATTGAAGCCAGATCATTGTCACATCCTCACAAGGAACAACTGCTGCAGGCAAAACCATGGATGAATCTCAAAATAATCACGTTGCATGAAAGAAGACACACAGTAAAGAGTATATGTGGTGTGATTCCACAGACATGAAATTCTAGAACATATAAATTGGTCTGGTGAGGGAAAGCAGCTAAGTGGTCTTCTAGGATGAGAGGGGGACAGATTGGCAAGGGCAGGAGGAAATGTTGGGGCTGAAAGATGTTTATTCTTTTGAATACAGCGATGGTTTCAAGAGTGTATAGTGAAGCCAAAACTCACCAAATCATAGAATTTGTACAGTGTATGACCTGTCCATTGTATCTTGTGAAATCAGTTCAAAACAAAACCGGATTCCTGAAGTGGATTCTAGACAGGAAGCACCTAAGGACTCCGAGGCCGTGCAGTGCCATGAGGGTGGGCGTGATGGGCAGAGCCTCAGGGGAGACATGTCAGGGCGCCTGGATCTTATTCTTGGTCAAGGACGTACTGACGAGATTTTAGAGAGGATGGTGCCCAACTCCTTGTGTTGCAGAAAAAGCTGGGAGGGGCCTTGGCTGGCACAGCCCAGCTGCCGGGTGGTGGAGGCGGGGCTGGAACTCGTCTAGGGTGCCAGCCCCGCTCTTTCCATTCTTCACACCAGTCTGTCCACACAGGGCTGTTGGCTTTAGGTTACCAGTTTCTAGAAAGTAGGACTCATCAGACCAGAAGCCCAGAAGGGCTCACGGTCGGGTGGGACGGGGCGGCCCAGCCCTGGGCAGGCCCTCAGATGTCCTGAGCTTCACGTTTCTGGGTGCAGGCAGGACAGTAGTGCTCTCTCTTCTTGAAATCCCCAGCGCAGGCATGGCACACTAGGCCTCCGCACAGACTAGGGAGCAGAGGTGGGAAATCAGGGAGTCAAGCATTGTGTATGGGTGAGGAGTTGAGGGCAGGGCGCATCATCGGGTCTGTTTCTCACCTCCCAGCAGAATGGCCTCTGGTCTCCCATTTCCTAGAGTGTCCTGATGCCCCCCACCCCGGAGCCCTCTAATCCCAAATGGCAGGATCCCCCATGGCCCACATTCCTCTTGCTGCTGCTTGTTCTGCCACCAAGAAGGTAAGAGGAACAGCATCCTGGGCACAAGAAATCTCTTCTCAGGTGAAAACCCCACCCACCTGTCTATGCCCCAAAGGGCTACAGAGTCCCATCTTCCAGGGGACCAGTCCTTGTCTGACCCTGTTCACTGCTCTCCTTATCACCCCTAAATACCAGGCCAGCTTTAAGTGGCCTTCAGAAACACCTAGTTCTTGTGGCCCTCCCGTCCCCAGAGCGGGCAGGGAGCTGTGGGCTGCCCCTGAGGAAGCATGCCGTGCCTGTCTCATACCGGCATGGGTACCGCCGAGAGAGCCGGCCGAAGATCTTGCTACAGCAGACACAGCATCCCGGGGCCAGGGACGAGAGCTGCTGGACCTTCTGCCACAGGTGGTCCTTCTCTCTGACAGGGACGGAGGTGGGAAGGGGAATACAGGGAAGTAGATAGAGAAAAATGTAGAGGGAGCGAGAAAGATAGGGAAAGAGATGCAGAGATAGACAGTGACAGAGATACAGAGAGCAGGAGAGACCAATATAGAGAAATACAAGGAGACAGGGAAAGAGACACAGACATGGCGAAAGACAGAACAATAGAGTTAGAGTCACATGTAAGAGATCGGTGAGTCTCTAATCTTTTGGAAAGATGGTGGTAATACTCAGCTCCCCCTTGACCCATTATTTAAGATCCTGTTCATAGCCCAATTCCTCCGAGGAGTGCCCCTTGATCTGCAGAACCCCCAGGGGTTCCTGCTGTCAAGATTATAGGCCTACAATGCCCATTATTTCTTATTTGACACTTAGTACAAATTTCCTTGTAGTTTTGTAAGTTTATGTTTCTGCTAAACTACTACCTTCACTATTTATTTATAAGGGATGTGTAGGAATATTTGATAAAACTTTTTAGTCAAAATGATACATACACATGACTTAAAGATCAAATCGTACAGGAGCGCTTATATCAAAAGGCAATAGACACACTCCCCACTCCTCATTCTCAGAGGCAACCACTCCTTTTAGCATTTACTCTGTGGTGGCATTTCCATATTTAAGTAATAGGCTCACAGCTCTACTTCTTGACTTGTCAACAGAGACCATCTGCTGTGGTGCTCCTGCCCAGGATAGTAGAGGATTTAGTTTATTTCTTACCACCCTTCAAGTTCTCCTCCCCTTTCCTCACAATGTCATTATATCCCTATTTTTGGTTCCTCTATGGTTACTATTATAATGTTACATAATATGCTCACACATTTCTTTCTTTCTGTCTACTCTCACATTCTATTAACTACTGATGGTGTTTTATATGACTGCCATTCCATAATTCGTTGGTGCCCCTTCTCTTCAACTATTCTCCTTCTTCCAACTTTTGTCTTCCATTCTTGCAACATCCAATATGGTAGCCACTAGCCACTTGCCCCTTGTGTCTATTGAAATTTATCTTAGTTTTTTTTAAGATTTATTTTATTGATTTATGCATACAAGAACTGGGATGTAGGCCAGAGATGCGGGGGGTGAGAGGATTCACCAGAGACAGAATGGGGAACAGAACAGGCGGACCTACTGAAATACACTGCTGAGGGGAGTGGTGGGCAAGACAGGAGAGGTCTGCTGCACCATGTGGGTCAGCTCCCTGGCCAGGTATCAAACTCATGCCACAGTGGCTGGTGATAACTTGATATCACTAGGACTTTAACGCCTGTGCCACTAGGAATGCCCTAAATTTATATTGAAGTTAATGAAAGTTAAACCCAATGAAAACTTCAGTTCCTCAGTCATCCCAGCCACTTTTGAAATGCTCGATCACTGCATATTGGGAAAGGTAAACAGAAAACATTTCCATATTCACAGAGAAGTTCTATTGGAGTCTATTCTATACTTACTATTGTTTAGGTGGTAATATTTAGTTCTGTTCTATAATTACAATGGCCTGCTGTGCTTTACCTTTAGGTTAATTCAAATATTGAAAAAAATCAATGAATGGTATTTACAGTATTAGACAATACATAAATATATTGGTTAAGCAGAGTTAAACTGATGAATCTCAAAATAATCATGTTGAGTGAAAGAAGTCAGACAGGGAAATAATTTCTTGGAATTATTTGTTTTCCAGGACTTTCTAATTGCCTTTTTTTTCCCTCTTGCATGACTTGCCTGTCACACAACCTAATTTTTTGCTCCAATTCTCCATCATATCAGGTATTCTATTGACTCTCCTCCTTAGAGACTTTTCTCCTGGGCTTTTGATACTTCTGCTGCAGTCGAGACTGACTACTTTCTGGGCTGGCTGCCCCCTGCTTATCTTGGGAATTCCCTTTTGTTCTCTCTTGGCTAGAGCTACTGTTTCCTGAATCCCACATCTTCTTTCTTGGCTTACTTCCTAGTTTTCTGGAGTACATCCTTAACTAACTTCCAAAGAAAGGCTATGTGGGAGATGAATATTTTGTGACCTATCTGTCTGAAAAATGTCTTTCCTCTATCACCTCCCCTCCCCAGTTGTTTCATAATTTGTCTGTACATAAAATTCTAGGACAAAGTCATATTTTCTCAGAACTTGAAGGTGTTACACCATTGATTCTTAACATTTGTAACCTTCTTCTTCTTTTATAAGTGACCCATCTTTTAGGATACTCATCTTTGTTTTACTGAAAATTTACAATGATGTATCTCAGTGTGGAATTTTTCCCTTTTTGTTTGTTGGTCACTCAGTGAAATCTTTAAATCTGAAGATCTGTGTCTACCAGAACTGGGATAATCACTCATTTCTTATTTTGATAACCTCCTTTATTTTATTCTGTACCTGGCCAGTTGCAGACATAATTAGAGCCCCAGGATTGACTCTTTGTCTCTCATTACTTCTCTCATGTCTTCCATTTCTCTGGGCTTCCTATTCTACTTTCTGAGAGTTTGACTCATAGTTCTCTTCTTATTCCAGTGAACTTAAAAAAAATTCAGTGATCATATTTTTAATTTCCACGAATTCTCATCTTCACAGAAACTTGTTTCGCAGGAAATAGATTTTTCTCTGCTTTTTTACTTTTGTGTCTCCCCTTTATGTTCTAGATTTTTCTCAAATGTCTGAGGATCCTTGATTGCCATTTTATGTTAAGAAAGAAGGGGTTGGGCCTCCCTGGTGGTGCAAGGGGTTAAACACAGTACTGTGAAGGTATCCACAGCCTCTGCAGCACAAGTTCCATCCCCAGCCAGGGAGGTGACACACATGGCGCAGCAGACCTCACCTGTCTCGCTGCTGTTCCCCTCAGCAGTGTATTTTGGTCAGTCTGCCTGTTCTGCTCCCCACTCTGTCTCTGATGAATCCTCTCACCCTCCACACCTCTGGCCTGTACCCCCGTTCTAGTATGAATTAATAAATATATTTTTTTAAAAAAAGAAAGAAGGGGTAAAGCTGCTGAATCTCCAGGCACTGGATAGAATGCCCAACTTTTACTTAGGAGGGACTGGGCAGGAGCTACCTGCCCCACCAGACTCTCAACACCAAGGAGTGCTGTTCTTTCATTTGGGGCAACTACATTTCTGTTTTGCCTGCTCTACTGAAGGGTAGGACCCTGATTGCTGGATATTTGGCAGCTTGAGAGAAAGGGCTGTACAGCAAGGGCTGTACTCTGGTCTTTGTGATGACTTTTTCATTCAATTTTCTTGACTTCTGCTCCTCATCTCACTCTGCCATCTGCATTCCTGGCATCTCTGGGTTCTGGCATCTCTAAAGTTCTAACTTGGGCTAGATCCAGTATCTACTTTTTCAGGCATTTCTGGCTTCTGGAAATTAGCTGAAATCTCTCATTTGTGGCTGGATTTTCCACCTTTCTCTCCGTTGTGAGTTTTATTATTATTATTTTTACAATCATTTTCATGAGAACTCAGGATGGAGAATGTATGACATGTGGTGGGTCTATCATCTTGACATAAAAGTCAACTCTCATGGCTTATTTCCTTTCTCCCTCCCTCCCCTCTTCCTGCTTCTTCTCCTCCTCCCCCACTCCCCTTTATGGTCATATCTTCTGTGATGCTTCTGCAAGGGACAATATATTATGTAGTTTGGGGCCTTGTGAATAATTTCTTTAGTGCTGGGGAAAATATTTGTCTCTCATGAAGAATTTAGACAACTTTCTGTGTTTTGCTTTTTGTTCCTGCTGCTAAGATGCTCAGTGCTCAGTTTTAACTCTAACCTTAATCCTAACATTTTGGGGACATATATTCTTTTGCCTTCTATTAAATCTATTTTTACTTTAAAATCACACAAAAACACATACACTTTATATATGGCAGATATAGGTCATATATAAAGACATAACTATCTCTATATATCTATATCTTTTTAGATATATATTTTTTATTGTTAGCTACCTTCAATCTTTATGAGATATACAGCTAATTTTTAACATCTCTCTTCCTCCAAGTCGACAGTTCCTCAGAGGAGAACACTCCTTGATTCTTTGTTCTTTCCAAGTTGATTTCTCCCTTTTCTTATCTTCAATAGCACTTGCATTTTGTGCAAAAGGATTTAGTTCTAGATGACCATGCAGCAATTTTCTGTTTGTATTGGACCCTGGGTCCCAATGATCTTTTCCTGAACTAGATAAAGGATAATATAAATGTGAATTTTCTCCCCACTAGACGAAGGGCAGAGACCAGACTTTATACCTCTTCTCCATCCCTTGTGAGCTCAGTGGTCTGGAATAGATCCCAGGGAGCTCTGCCTCTGGATCCTAGCATAGCTGACCTGGGACAGATGTGCAGGCCCACTGACCTGAAGAAGTCTAATAGGCAGGCAGGAGTAGGACAGGCGACAACCCTGTGGTTACCCTCCTCCTTGGTCTTCCAATCCTTCTGAACCCATGGGTTCCTTTCCCATCTCTTAACCTTAGTGGCGTGTGTGTATGTGGGGTGGGTTGAAGCAGAGGGATGAGCATCAGAGGACTCTATGCAATTTATATGCTGTGTGTCCTGGTGGCCAAGTCAGCCTCTCTGACCCTCATTGTCCTCATCCATAAAATGGGGATAATAGCAGAGGTGGCTAAAAGAAGGAAAAGAGTTAGCATATATTAAAAGATTTGGAACACTGATGGCTGTTAGTGGAGTAGAATTTCCATTCCCAAGCCTCTATAGCCCATATCATCCTCTTCTGCACCCCTGCCCCACTGTTCAAGCCCTTACTGAATCAGTTCCAGCACCCGCCTCTTCAGGGCATGGACCAGGTCCCGCTGCCCCCCAAGCTCCTCAGCATACATGGCATCCCTCTGCTCAGCCTCCTGTTGCTTCTGCTCCAGTTCTGCTTGCAGCTGGGCCCTCTCTTCCTGACACCTGGGCACAGGAAAGATCAAATTCTGAGGGGGGAAAAAGCACTTGTGACTGAGCAAGGCTGGGCTTCTGCCTGACAAAGAGACTTCTGGGGGATGGTGGCGGTGCCTCCTGCAGCCAAAGTATACACACACACACACACACACGCACACACACACATACACACAAAATCACATGCATATACCACATGCATCACACCACATTCCACATATATTCCTACACAATGCAACACACAAGACATAAACATACATGCACAGCATTGCACACATATTGCACACAACACATACACACACCACAACACACATATAACTCACACATTTAGTGACTTCCTAGAAAGCTTCCAAGAAGTGGACTGGATGGAAAGGCCCCAGCTGCAGGGAGAAGGTCTTACTCCATCGCTCAGGCAGTAGGTTATTGTGACGGCAGATACGTCGTGCTGCCTGTGACCTGTGACCTTGGGGTGCATGCGTATGTGTGCCTGTCACCCTGTGTTGAAGGGCAAGACGCTGCCAGAGGCATGGCAATTAGTCGAGCTATTTTTTTTTAAGATGCCACAGTGGACCCTGCTGTGGGGAGGAGTTCTGGGAAGACCATGGAATCAAACTGACAGCAGGTAGCCACTGACATTCAGGAAGGGGCAGTTTCTGCAGCCTGAAGAAAGAGGGTTCTGGTGCTCAGGCTTTGGGTCAGGGTCAACATTTGAATTTTCATGAACATTCTAGTCTTCAGGTTCCTTGGGCATTAGTTGCTGACTTCGTTTTCCTGAGCTAGTTCCCTCGCCTGGAGATTCCAGGGCTCTGGTGTGTTCAGCACAGACCCTAATATGACCTCTGTGGCAAGCAGGTGTCTTTGTGGTGAGAAGGAACATCTATTAAGCACCTACTGTATGTCCATGGCTATGTTAGGTGTCAGGCACAGAGTGATGCCCATGCAGCGCCTCGTGGAGCTCGTGGTAGAGCTTGTGGTGTTTTCAGGACAGTGGTCAAAAAAAGTGACAGACCAATATCATAATTAAAAAAATAACAAAACTAAGTATATAACAGGGATAAATGAGGTGCTGAGAAAGAGGCTCTCCTTGAGACTTGCTTGGGGAAGGCCTCTCGGAGAAGGTGATATTTAAGCAGAACTCAAAGATGACAAGTCAGTCAAGAAGAGCAGAGAAGGGCACAGGCAAAGGTGCTCGGGTTGGAAGGAACGTGGCTCATGTGAAGAACACAAAGAGTGTGAGTGAAGCTGGGACACCATGAAGGACAGAGGGGGAGCAGCAGACATGTAGCAGCTAGCCAGGGTCTGATGGGTCCCTCCGAGGCGCCAGGTGGAGTGGACTTTACTCCCGTGCAATGGGAAGCCTCTGAAGTATTTTCAGCAGAGGGTGACAGACAATCCTAGAGCAGGAGGGAACGTGACCACAATATAACCATCTATTGAGTACCTACTATGCGCCAGTCACTTGCTTCATTTACTTTCTTGCAAAGTTATGGGACAAGTAGTATAATCAGCACGTTACAGGAATGAAAATAGAACTCCAGAGAGGAGGTGATACTTGCCTGATAAGTGGGGGTAGGGGGTCAGAAATCTGGACACAAGCCTGTTGAACTCTAAGCTCTTTTTACTATCTCACTCTTTCATCCCCGCAGGGGCTTCATTATCATCAGTGGGTCACTGGCATCGCTGCTGAGGGGCAGCAGGTGGGAGCTAGGGAGGGATTGTGAGGCCCTGGCACGCCTCAAAGGAGTTCAGTGCTGCCACCATGGGGTGGGAGGAGGGAGATGTGATGTTTGCCTAATTTTCTATCTAGGACCCTTCCTCTCATACCTGTCCTAATCATCTTGTCTTGAGGTCTCATCCAGAGGGCAGAGGAAACCCATCTGCTAGGAAAGATGATCTCACAGACCATTTGCGTTGGAGGGAGGACTTTAGAGGCTGGCATCTCCTTTTGCAAATCAGAGATCTGAGACCGAGAAAGGGAAGGCCAGATTCCCAGGGCCTCACAGCCAGGTCAGGAAGCAGGTACTGGGTGTCCCAGAGCTCAGTGCTGAGTCTATTTTCATAGCTCCTGCTGGTCTGTTCTGGGCCTGCTGCCTGAAGAATCTGTTATCTCTGATTCGTCTGCACCCATTGGCTGCACCCTGCACCCTCAGGCTCTCTACACTGCAGCTAGAGTCCTCCTTTTTAAAACCTAAGTTGGACCCTGAGACTCTCCATTCAGGACTTGGATGGAGCCTTTTGGAGCCCCAGGAGTCTCCCTCTGCTCCTGCCACTCTGGCCTGCTTAATCCTCAGCACACTTCTTCCAGGATGGTGCATTCCCCGCCCCAGCCTGGAGTTCTGTTTGCCTGGCCTGCTTTTCCCATATTTGAGGTTTCTGCTCAAATGAACTCCTGTTTTCTGACTCTTGATCTAGAAGACTCTCCAATGACTGCCTGACGTGTATTTCTATTTGAGGATGTGTTGTCTGTCTCCAGGGCTGTGAGAGCAGACATAGGCGTTCTGTTCCTGTTGTCCCCGTGCATATCCGGCGTAGAGGCACCATAAATGTTGTTGGCTGACTGCTGGGCCCTGGGGCACTGTATTCGCTGCCTCTGAGGTGCCCATCACCAACTTGATGCCCATGTTCCCTTCCCAGGAGTGAGGTGTTAGTCCCAAGCTCCTTGGGTTCCAGGAGGCAGGGAATGCATCCTCCTCCCAGCCTTAGGAGCTGCTGTTACTCACTGTCTGCATCCTAGTGGCTCCCCAGTAGACGCCCCAGCCCATGCCTGTCTCCTGAACTCCTCCTGAGGGCCCACTCAGCAGCTCCACTTGGGTGTCTAACAGGTGTCTCAAGTGTAATGTGTTTCTAGCTCAACTCCCGAACTTTACCCACAAGCCTGCTCTGCCACAGCAGACAGTCCCTGGCGACTCCAGCTTTCCAGTTGGACAGGCCAGAGGACACCAAGTCACTCTTGACTCCTGTCTTTCTCTGAGACCCAGCTCCACACCCCCAGGAGCCTGACCTCACAGTGCCTCCTGAATCCAGCAGCTTCTCTATTGCCCACTCTTCTCAGCTCCCTCCTGGGTGGTCTCCCTGCTTCCACCCGAGCTTCCCCAAGTTTTGTTCCATAGAGTAGTGAGCACGAGTCCTTGAAAATGTAGGTCAGCCCAGAGCAGGAAAATCTATACAAACAGAAAGCAGATTAGCGGTTGCCCAGGGCTGGGACTTTGGGAGGAAATGGCAGCACTGCTAATGAGTACGGGGTTTCTCGTTGGGGGGAAGAACATCTTCTAAAATTGACTGTGGTGACTGAGCCGCAACTCTGCGGATGCACTGAAAACCACTAAGTTAGTTTTTAAAAAGCAAATAAACATTTTTAACATCAAAGCAGTCACATCGTGCCCCTCCTTGCTTGGAACTCTCGATGGTTCTCACCTCACCCTGAGTCAAAGTCAAGATCCCTCCAGGCTCTCCCTAAGCCTGTGTCCATCACCTGCCCGCCCTTTCCAGTCACCCTCTCCGTCTTTCACTCCCCTGATATTCCTAGAGCTTGCCATGCCCCTTCCCACCTTAAGACCTTGCCTCTTGCTGTTTCCGGAACATTCCTTTACCATGTGTCCAAATGGCTCACTCCTCTATCCCTTCAGGTCCTTGCTCAAATGTTACCTTTCCAAGATGGCCTTCCGTGGTCCTGCCATCTTAAATATCACTAGCATATCACATCCCCTTCCCTGCTTTATATTTTTTCTCCTTAGAACTGATCACAATCTGACATTCTATAGATTTCACTTGCTTCTTCCATTTATCCACTGTCTCCACTAGAATGTAACTTCCACAAGGGCTGGAATTGTCTGTTTTCTGCTCCAGAGTATGTTGGGCACATAGGACAGGCCTGGCACCCAGGGGACCCTCTGAGGGTTTGTAGAATGACTGAATGATGGCCAGGATGACATATGACAGGACAGGGGTCTGAGACAGGGGTTCTCCCAGCTGCAGGGAGCAGCCTGGGACCGAGTGTTCTCCCTGGAGTCTCCCTTTTGCTCGCCCCAGCCTGTTCGACCCTCACAGAAGACCCTGAGATGGGAAGGTCCCTGCCTTCACATGGGGCCTTAGTCATGTGGTCTTTGCTCACTAAACCACTGGGCTCAGCTGAGTATCTGATGGGAGGAGCCCCCAGGGTCCTTTTTGGTCTGGTTCCTGGGCCCCTGGGCAGACAGTAGACTGCCCTGTGATTCAGTCTGAATCACCCCCACTCAGACTCCACTAGGGTGTGGAGGGGAGGTGGAGGTGCTGGCGCCTCCTGGCTCAAGGGTGGGTGTCGGGCATGCAGGAGAAACAGGGGTTGTGGGCAGGCTGTGGCCCAGAGACAAAGGGAAAGCCCCAGTCAGATCAAGGAAGATCTCCCGGTGGAGATATTTAAAAAAATAGATGAACAGAGACACACAGACTGAGGGGGAAGGTAGAGACAAAGCCAGGCAACTTTGGGCCTTGAGGTCAATGTGGTAATAGGGAGAAGAAGCCACTGGGTGAGAGGTGCTGAGGGGAAGAGAGAGGGAAACACTGGCAAAGAGACAGTGTCCAAGCCCACGGCCTGGCTCAGCGGCCATGTCTGGAGCTCATCCTTCTGCTAACAGTTGGTGCTGCTTGGCTCAGGCGGGATCTTTGAGTCTTAGTTGCCTCATCTGAAAAGTGGGACTTCTTAGAGGGCCTCTCTGATAAGGCTGTCTGAGGAAGTGCCTAGAACCATGGTAGGGAGATAGTAAAGAGTGGGCAAATGAGACAGTAACCAGTAGGATTATGATTATCAAGAGAGAGAAAGGAAAAGGAAAAGGAGAGGCAAATAAACAGAGGGAAAGAGGGAGACAGAAAGGGAGAGCAGGGCAGGAGTATGGCGGGCAGAAGGCAGAATGGGCAGAAAAGAGAGAGGAGAGCTCAAAAGAGGCATCAGAAATGAGCAACTGTGGTGGGAGGGGCAGCAGTCATAAGAGGCCGATCCCCTCCTGGGGTTACTTGAGAGGTCAGTCAGGGAGCAGGCTGGCAGAGGGGAGGGGGGAGCCCCTGGAGAGCAGTTATGCCCTGCGTGCCTCAGCATCCCAAAGATATGCCCAGTACAGGACCTGGTGCCCAGGAGGTGCTAGAAGGAAGCATGGTGGCGTGACTGCTGAGGAGAGCAGGAGCCAGGGAGCATCTCCTGGCCCTCAGGCCTCCTGGCTACAGGCCCATTCCTGCTGGTGGTTGCCAAGGTTACCTGCTGAGCTGTTCCTGCAGGGCTTTCAGCAACCCCTCCTGCTTCTTCAGCAGCTGCTCCTGGTGCTGGGTCTGCTCACAGGTCTTCTGGAGCCCAAGTCTGAGACTCTGGGAGAGAGGGAGGGAAGGAGGCAGGGAAACTGAAGGAAGAGAGCAGAAACCCCAGCCCAAGACTTGACCCAACAAACATCCCTGAGAGACAACTGTGGGTGGAGGGAAGGACTGGGGACAGTGCTAGGTCCCAGCCCTGTGTGAGGCTGGGACCACCATTTCATCCTTCCCTAAAGGACAGAAGTTACCGATTTCAAGGACATCTGCCTAGGGAGGAGGGTAAAAGAGGCTGGGAAACAGGGCCGCCCTGGTGGCGCAAGGGGTTAAGACACAACCTATGAAGCTGTCCGCAGCCTCTGCGGCACCTGTTCAATCCCTGGCCAGGGAGCTACCCACATGGTGCTGCAGACCTCTCCTGTCTTACCCGCTGCTCCCCTCAGCAGTGTATTTCAGTCAATTTGCCTGTTCTGTTCCCCACTCTGTCTTTAGTGAATCCTCTCACTCCCTGCACCTCTGGCCTGTACCCCAGTTCTTGTATGCATAAATACATAAATCTTTAAAAAAAGAGGCTGGGAAATAATCTTGGGTCACCTCTAGAAGCATTTACAGTGACACATTCTGAGAAATGAGTTGTTAGGTGATTTTATTGTTGTGCAAACATCATCGAGTAAATTACACAAACCTAGATGGTATAGCCTACCTCACACTGAGGCTAGATGGTATCGAATATTGGGACCATTGTCATAAATGCATTCCAAGTTAACCAAAATGTTCTATGCTACATGACTGCACAGGAGTGGCGAGGTGGGATTTGCAATAGTAGAACTTAGACATTGGGAAGAAACCTGTCAATAATGAGGAAAATGGAACTTGAGAACAAGTAACTGACCCAAAGAACTACTGGGGATCTCAAACTTAAATGCCTACAGAGGTAAGGCAGATAGTACTGATGAGTCTGGTGTAAGGCAATAGGGAGTGGTGGGGGCTGAGGTGAACAGAAAAAGGCACAGATTTTCAAAGGTGCACTCAAATAATAATAATCCAATGCAGGTCAATAAAATTTAGTCTGTGGACTAGAATGGTCCTTAGGCTACCACTGAGGACCCCCACCCATGGGACAGTTAGAGAGGAGAGCATGGACAAGTTCTCACCTTGACCACAGCCTGCAAGTTCACCTCTTCCTGTTCCGCCTTTCTGGTCACACTGGTCACTCCTGTTTGCTCTTGTGGCTTCTCTGTGGTAGAGCTTTCCTTTGTTTGTGGGTCCTGAAGCACCTGGTGTTCCCCTGAAATGCTAGATGCCTTCTGCTCCTGCCTGCTCCTCCACACTGTGTCCTCCATGGTGCCTATGGGACTGGGGGTCAGCAGCCTCTGGACACGACCCCAATCTGCTTCCCTCTCACGAGTATTCTCTGCTGTTCTCTGACCCTCTGCCCTGGGAAGAACCCCTCTGGCCTCCGCCTCAGTCCCCAGTATCCCTTTCAGCGCCCCTCTGACCCTCTGCTCCTGTCCCTGGATGTTGGATATTGAGTTCTCCAGGAAGATCCCTGTTTTGGGGTCTTCCTTCTCCTGGTCTTGCTGAAGCTCCTTCCACTTTGGCTCCCACCTGTCCTGGGGGGATATGAGGCTCCTGGGATCTTCTCTCTTCTTTTCCAAAAAGGAGGGAAGACGCTTGAGTTGCTGGGGCCTGGGGAGTCCAGTCCACCTGTCTTCCCTGGGTGCCTCTTGCAGACAGTCGACTTGGTTGGCATGTGTCGCCTGTGACTGGACCCCTTTGGGACCTTCATGTGTGGTTAGGATCTGCAGAGAAGCCCCCAAAATCATCATCCATCTCAGCACCAATTCACTGAGCTGGAGCAGAGCAGCCACAGCCCTCACGCAGCAGATCTGCTAGCTATATGGATTCCTGGCCCTCCCACTGGAAGTATTGATTCAGTAAAGCTAGAGACGGCCCTGGAATCTGAATGTGAACACCCTGGTGACCCAATGTCTCTGCTTTGATGTGGTCAGGGGACAGCAGTGCTTCTCTAGACCCTTCCTGCCTCGCCTCTAGCCCCATCCTTCTCCCTCCTTCACACCTATCTTCTGCATTGATCCTCTCTCCCTCCATCCCTTCCTACCTCTCTCCTCTGATCCATCTCCCAGAACTTGACTTCTTTGAGTTTCACTTTTCTCATCTGCAACATGGGAATAATAATACTTGCCTTGTAGAGCTGTGGTGAGAACTCAGATTGACCAAGAGCAGCAAGAGACCCCTCTACCAGGAAGCCTCTGCTGTGACCCATGCGCCTCTGCGCCAGCCCATTTCACATGTGTGCGGCAGCGTGTTCCTTCAGGGTCTGTCTCCCAACCACACTTGGAACTCTTTCAGCTCAGAGACGAGCCCTTGTGGTATCTCCCTCACTCTGCTAATGGAACCGACAACGCAGCTACCACTGGCTGAACGCGCCACAGGCAGCCTCGCTCTGTGCCACACACACTGTGCATCATCACAATCAGCCTGTGAGGCAGGACAAGTTACTTGTCCGCTAACTATGGTTAGAAAGAGTAGGAGCTGGGACTTGAATCTGTCAATCTGGCCTCCAGCACTCCCTGAGTGGAAGTGAGCTATCTGCAAATTGTCCAGCAGGGGTCGTTCCCTGCTGTTTTCTATGAGCTTCCAGACACCTCTAGCACCTTCTCCTCCCTAGGGCCCCAGTAGCTCCCACAGATGGTGCTAGTGGCCCCTTTCTCTCTCTGATATCCCACCACCTTACGAATATGCAGCCTCTCTTCTTTGTGGTTCCCCAGCCCCCAGATCCACATGCTGGCTTCTGTCTGTCTGTCTGTCCGTCCTCCAGTTAGGTCGGGGCTCAGTTACTGCTTAACCTGGAGGTCCCAAGAGAGATGGAGAAGAAGCGGCTCAGAGTGAAGTCAGGCAGAGCACCTGTTTTGGGGAATCTTTGATTTTTCTGGGTCTTCTTCCCTTGGTCAGTCTGGAATTGCAGCAGCTGGACCTGCAAGTGAAAGGGGTAGGGGCACCCTGGGGTTCTCTCCAGCATTTACGTCTCCTTGGATGTTGGCTATCCCATCTTCTCAATCCCCAGTCATGCTTCCATTCTTCCCACCTTCCATTCCATCCCCCTTAGGCGTGCATCCCCCTCCATCCAACCACATGTTCCATCCCAACCACCCACCATTCATTCATCCTTCTAACCCACTCTCTACCCCAACCATCCAACAGCTCTTTAGTGAGCGTATATTTTCTGCAGCATGGCGGAGTAACGTGCGGGTAGGCTGGGGAAAGAGAAGGCTGGGAGGTGGGGAGCCAGGGGATCAGAGAGCATGAAGGGAGTGAGGAGCAGATGGTGTGGGAGACCGAGAGCTTGGACTTGCTTGGGATGGGCGGTGACAACGCCATCAGCCATGGAAGAGAGGCGTCCCTCTGCGCTGCACCCACTCACTCTGAGAACATGGGCCAGGCCCCATCCAGGTCAGGACGCTGCAGCTCTAAGTCGAAGGACACCTCATTGAGAGCATAGAGACAGTCCAGGAGGTCTTCCTGGAGTTCGGGGCACACCAGGGGGCTCCGGGGGCCGTACCATTCCCTGTGTTAACAGTCATCAGAACCCTTGGTCTGTGGTCCTGGTGCTGTTCCCTCCCCAATGTCAGGGAATCCACCCCCCGCCCCACCATAACAATACTTCCCGGGCTGTGGCCCTTTGGGAGCAGGAGGCCCGGGCATCACAGCGCTACCGGCACCCTCTGCCCTTTCTCTGTCTGACTCATTTTAGCCATCTTCGATATCCAGTCACCCTTCGGGGCCAGAGGACTCTTTCACGGAGGAGGGGCCCTGGGCACAGAGGGTGTCTGGAGATGTCCCAGTCCCACCTGGTGAACCCCGGGTCCAAGAGGCAGAGCTGCAGGGACTCAGCCAGCTGCCCATGGGCAAGGCAGAAGCGGATGAAGGCGCGGCCTCTTCCCAGCGGGGTCTTCAGCTGCAGAGTGCATGGGGCAAAGTGGGGGTTAGAACAGAGGAAACTCAGCCCATGCCCAGAGAGAGACGATGGAAGCCAGTGGGTGATGAGAAAGGGTGTCATGGAATTGGGGGCCATGGGAAAGGGAGGCTGGGGGAGCTGAGCCCAGGGATAGTGAGTGCTGAGCAGGTCTGTCAGAGCAATAGGGATGGAGAAGAAGGGGTCAGGCAAGGCAGTGTCCTCTCCTCTCTGGCCCCCTGAGCCAGACCTTCAAGGGCCTGGTGGCAGGGCCCTGTGGGACTAAGGCCGCCTCCCCGCCACTTGGCTCTGGATACCTTGTCCTGTGAGTGAACAAAGCGGGTGGACTCCGTGTCCCCCCGCTGCCGCCCCAGGGCAGTGCAGAGGAAGTCCCAGTAGTCCTTCCGAGGTTTCAGGAAACGCTTCTGCTCTTTCTGGTCAAACTGGGAGCAAGATCAGGGAGAGGGAATGAAGACATGCTTGCTCCTAGGACCTACCTTGTGTACCAGCGTGCCCAGTGGGCACAAGTAGGAGGGAAAGGGCTCGGGCAGACAGATTGACTGCCAGTCCTGGCTCTGCCCTTACTGGCTGGGTGACCAGAAGCCAACTGCTCCACCTCTCTGAGCTTCCGTGTACTCATTCATTGATTCATTCATTCAGGAAATACTAATGAACACTTAATGGTGCGAGGCTCTGTTCTAAGCCCTGGGTTTCCAGCACTGAACCAAATGACTTCTGATATAAATTCTGGAGTTTGTATGCTGGTAGAGGAAGCAGACGATAAATAGACTAAACGCATGAAACTTAGAGTATGTCAGAGAGTGTTGACTGCTAAGGAGAAGAAATAAGGCTAGGAAAAGTAATAGAAACGGGTATGTGTACCCAAGTATGTGTGTGGTTTACTGTTTCTGTTACAGAATCAGATTAGGTTAGCTGAAGAGGTACCTGAAGAGGTACACTGAAGAGGTACACTGAAGAGGTACTATTCAAGTGCAGATCTGAAAGAAATAAGAAAAGATGTCATCTGAATTTCTGGGGCCAGAGCAATCTAGACAGAGGGAATAACAAGTGCAAAGGCCCTGGGGCAGGTGCTTTTCCAATGTGATTTAGGAAGATCATGGAGACCAGTGTGGTCACAGTGCAGCAGATGAGGGGTAGGTTGGCAGGAGAGTCACACATGCACCCTGTGTACACACACCAAACACACAAATCTCACAGATATAGAGAAATAGGAAGGATGTGTGTGTATTCATTCAGTTGTGGGCAGGCTGTTTAGCACAACCCCAGGTAGGGCATATAATGGGCTTAGCTTAGCACACAGTAAGTGCTCAATAAAAGCTAGTGGTAGTGATGATTGGGGCTCTGATCAGCAGCAAAGAGGATCAGCTTTCAGAGGATCCCTGCCTCTGAAACTTCAGTTTTCAGAACAGGAGGCCACCCCCAGCACTATGCTCCCTCCTTCAGCCTTGTCCCGTCTCATTTCCCAGGCAGTAATGACAGCCTTCAAGAGTCTGAGGGACACACTGAGCGAGATGAGGTTGTGCACGGTAACAAAGGGGTCAGTGGCTCTTGCATCAAAATCTAGAAATGTCCTCCTGGTTTCCTAGGCCTGGAGAGAGGGCAGGGGAGGGAAGGAAAGAAAGCAAGGCAGAAGAAGGGTATGTAAGGGTGGGTCCCACCTGCAGCAGCCACTCCAGGCAGCCACAGAGTCTGTGTAGCTCGGCGCTGGCGTCTGTCACTGCCTGCTGGCCACCCCGGTATCCCTGAAGGACAGCATAGATGGCAGCTGTGGGGAAGATGGCGGACGCAGACATCAGCCAGCGAGGCTCTGGGGGAGAGGCTCCCAAGACCCCTCCCTCCTCCCCAATCCAGTCCCAGGAAATCTCTCAAGGCACACTCACCTTTCAGGTCCCTGATGATCTTGAGGGCGGCTCCCTCTTCCGTCATGACTATTTGAAAGTGATGTGATTCCTTGTGTCTCAGATGGTCAAGTCAGGAAGAACATTCTGGGTTCAATGCCCCAATGTCTCCTTCTGCGAACGAAGGAATGGGAGCACCGGGAAAGACCGGGACATGTCTGGGGTCACTGGTGAGTTAACTGCAGAATAAACCCCCAGCTGTTTCTGGTAGGCCAGTGTGGAAAGAAGGCATGGACCCCACTTTTTGGAGCCAGTGCTCTGCTGTGCTCTGTATCTTACAACCTTGAACTCATCCAGTCCCCAGAAGAACAAAGGAGGATGTTATCCCCGCATTATACAAGGCCAAAGTGTTTGGAGAGGGTAACTTCCGCTCACTGTCACAAAGCTACAAAGATGACACCAGAATTTGGCTTCGGTCTTTGAGCCCACAGGGCCATGTTCTCAGCCCTAACGTGGTGTGAGCACCGCTGAGTGTGCACACCACGTGGGCCTGGGCTGAGGGAAGTCACCCTTCCCCCCAGAGGGGCCTGGCCGAGGCAGTCAGCCTCCTGGAGTCACATATTCATCCTTTCCTGGGCCCAGCTGATTGGAAAATGTGTGTCTTTGGATGAGAGGGAGGCCCCAGAATTGGTCTGGGCCAGAATGCTGGAGGGCAGAGGGATCAGGGAACCTGCTTTTACTCCTGCCACTCTCCCAGGGGAACCTCTTTGTCTGTGTGGGTCTTGGGGCCCAGAGTGGAATACTGTGGCCCCCCGAGACCAGTGGGCTTATTCTGAGAGGTAGAGTGGGGGAACACAGGTGTCCTGTCTCCCAGGCCATGGCTGGTAGCATTTGGGAGTGGCAGGGGTGAGGGGGAGCGAGGAAGCTGTGAGATATGGTGGTGGAGAAAGGAGAGGGAAATGAAGGTGAATGGGGTGGGGGATGGCCTTCAGGGAACCCCAAGCTGGGAGTCAAGGGGCCCAAGTTTCCACCCTGGCTCTGCTACTAATCCACCATGTGACCTTGGGCACATCATTTGCCTTCCTTGGGCCTCAGTTTTCCTATCCAGAGACCAAATGGTGGGACTGAGAGTCTCTGCACCCCTCTGCCCAGAGTATGTGAAATTCACCAATATCTAATTATGCCTCTTCCTCTTTTTTACTCTATCCAGGATCTACCTACCCCTCAAACTTAGTGCCGCTCCCTTTCTCCAGCCACCCACAGCCTCAGGACCCCCCGGCTACTCACCTGGAAGACCTGGCTGGTTGGGGCATGGAGAGCAGGCACTGCCACCAGAGCTGGTCCCTTGTGACTGTGGGCCCTGCCCAGCCCTTCCTGGGATTGGCGCCTGGGGAGTGATTCATACTAGCCCAGCACCCTGAAAAGGGAAGCCCTGCACAGAGGAAGAGCAGGAGCTCAGGGGAGAAGTGGTAGGGGCAGGGCCCAGGGCCCCGCGACAGCAAGGGCGAGATGCAATGGTTCCCCTAAGGCAGTCCTGGTAGATTCGCTGTGGCTGCCACGGACTCCAAGGTGGTCGAGGCAGCTGCTGTGCAGAAGTCCTGCTGGGTTTCACAGCAGGCAGTTGCTCCTGTCTTTCTCCCTTATGACCACCAGGTGGCACGTAGAGGCTGTGCGGTGGCACCACCTGATCCTCTGTGATCTTGGCTCTCGCTGTGCTGGAGGTGGGAAGAGGAGGGTCTTCCTACTGGTCTCCTCTCCCACTTCCATCTTTCAAGGGGTACCCACGAGTGCTGGGGGTGCCATCCTCCCAGCCCTGATACCCACCTCTGAAAGGATGGACAAGAAACCGCTGGGGAAATGCCGTGTCCAGAAATGGACCAGGTAGGTGGGTTGCACAGGTGGGCTGTCCTTCCTGCCCCAGCTGTGCCCTGGCTCCTCGACACTGGGGTCCTTCTACAGCCTGGTCCTGGGTTTTCCAGGCTGGGCTGCCCCAAGGGTAGAGAATAGGTGTAGCAGGCACCTTGGCACCCGGGAGTGCTACTAATCTGAGGAACATGCAAACTTAGCTCACCGGGTACCCAGGCTGGGCTCTGCTCTCCTGCCCCTACTCCCTACCTGTCTCTCCTGCTCTGGGACTTGGGCACCTCTGCACACCACTCAGTGCCCCCTCCCTGTCCCTCCCTCTCTCAGCCCCCCCAGCCCCCCTCCCCCAGCTCTCTCATTATCTTTCCTTATCTGCTTCCTGCCTGTCTCTTGGGGGGTGGGTCTTCCAGCCTCCCAGAGTCAGCACCCGCCGCCCGTCCTGGGTCCCCACCGCCGCTCCTCCTGCGCCCCCCGTGCGTGCCTTCGGGTCTCCCTCCGTCACTGGCTGCCCTCGGCACCGCCCACCCCCCCGGGCCCGCACTCCCCCGCTTCTCGGCGTCGCCCGCAGCGGGCTCCAAGCCGGCACTGGCTGGGGGCGTCGCCGCCCGGATCCCGACGTCTGAGGCGCCCTGGGCGGGGGCGGGCCGCTCCCGGGGCGCTAGTGTCCCCGCCCCTGGCCGGGGCCCGCCGGGTGCCGGGTGGGATGGGCTGCACGGTGAGCTTGGTGTGTTGCGAGGCGTTGGAACCCGGGCCCCCCGGCGGCCCCCAGCCCCCGGGGACGCCCCAGCCCGGGCGGCACGGGCCGAGCGCTGGGAGCCGGGGGGATCCGCCGGCACCCAGAGCAAGCGGCTACTGCTTCAGGTAGGGGGCTGCGGGGGCCGGGGGCCAGGGGACGCTCTGGGCTCTGGAACGGGCGGCAGACACGGCCCAACTCACCTGAGACAGGTAAGGAGCCGTCCAGGAAAGTGCCGGTCAGTGGGGGCAGGCGGCCCTAGGGACTCAGGTGGGGCAGGACCAGGGGAAGGGGCTTTGGGTTAGGTGGCGATCTTACCTGCGGCCTCAGGAGGAGCGTGATGTGGGACTTAATCCTTAAAGGAGCAAATAGTTCAGGTGAGTTTTCGGAGTCATCGAGAGAGCCAGATCTAGGAGTGCTGGAGACAGCCGCGGTGTTAATTCCCCCTGAGCCGGTTCAGGGGTTGACCCTGTATCCCTGGGAGCTGTGGCTGTTGTCCCTGACCAGGGCTCTCTGTAGACAGGAGGGAGGGGGCCCCCTTCACAGGTTTAGGGGCACCAGAGCCGGGATGGACCTGAGGATAGTGGCAGCTGGACCCTCATCCCTGCATTCTCAGTTCTAGGTGAGAACCTCCCAAGTGGCTAGTTGACCCAGAGGGGCCGAGTGGGCTGGGGCTGGGAGGCAGGTGCTGGTTCTGGGTGAGGCATCTATCTGGGAAGCTCCAGGCCTAGTATAGGTGTGGGCATTGGATTTCCCCCAGGAGGAGAAGGAGGTATTTGGGGTCCCTGGAAACTAGATAACCCCACTTCAGGTCATCTGCATAATCCAAAGCTGCCTCCCGGTTTGGGGGCTGTGAAGGCTGCAGTCTCCTGAGACTTATTTGCTGTGTGGGGATTGGATTACGCTGGCATTTTACATCCCATCACTTGGGTGACTCAAAATGTACCCTGTGGCCACATCCCTGCCCCCTTCTCAGGGGCAGCCAGCGAAGACAAGTGTGGGTGCATGTATGTGCACACTGAGGGTCAAAGTGACCCCTCTGTTCCCTTTGACTGAATGCCCTTCCAGGACATGGATTATGGCATATTTGTGGTTATAGTACCCAGTGCCAGACATAGGGCTTCACTTAGAACCAGAACTTTCTGTCCTTGCCAAGCTCTGATCCCGGTCATTGCCACAGTGACTGGCCATGGTGAGGGACAGGCTTGGTGGGTGGAGCTGTCCCTGATCCCTCCCAGCAGCTGGCAGCCCAGGTGAATCTGAGGGAGCCTGAGGCCAGCTTTAGTGATAATGTGAGGCCCAGAGGTGTCAGCTAGTCACCCCAGAATACTGCTTCTCCATCTTCACAAAGGGGCAGAGGGTCCAGAGAGGGTTGGTGACATGGCAGGACCCTAGGTTGGGTCCCCCCTGGGCCATCAGGGCCCCCCCCGCCTCTGTCTCGGCCTCAGCCTCTCTTCTGTCCACCAGGGTTTCAGGGGAGGTGCGTTCATAGCCGCCTTCCTTGCTGCCTCCTGTTGCAGGCCCTTCACTTCGCCCTGTCTGTTGGTGGGTCACCTTGATCCCCTCTCTCTCTGCCTCCCCCATGCACCAAGCGGCTTTGACATGGGGTGGGTGGCACTTGAGGGTGAGCAGGACCAGGGATAGACTGAGGGCTGAGATGGAGGAAAGCCAGGGGCCCTGGAGGTGGGTGGTGAGGGGAAGGGGGGAGGGGCGGGCGTGTGGCAGCCACAGGCACAGGGAAGGGGACGAGTGCCTGTCTGCATTCGGATGAGCTGGTTTCTGAGCGGCCTCTAGAGAGACCTTGACGCTTGCCCATGCCGCGCCCACTTCTTTATCTGCAGGAGGAAACTGCAGATACTGTTCCAGCCCATGCTGCTCCCGGGGCTCTGGCTGGGGGCTGTCACTGGCTGCTTTCTCCCCATCCCAGTTCTTGCTTTTCATCTCCCCTTTGGGCAGTCCTCTCCCACCCAGGCCACATTGCCCTCTTCCTTACAAACGGCAATTGTCCACCCAAGTAGACTCTCCTGGGCTTAGGCTGCATGGCCTCCTCTCTCAGTGGCCTCCTCAGGGTCTCAGATGGCTTACAGGCCCCTTTTGCTTCCACATGCCAGCCTGCCAGCCGCAGGAGGAGGGGAGGTGGGGCTTGGCATCCCTCCTGAGCATTCCCGCCAAACCTTCCCTGACCTGGGCGCCAAGGGGCCTGGCAGGCATCTCCAGGAGCCAACCTCGCCTCCTCGTGCTCTGCCATATCCCAAGACAAGTGAGTGCTTGTCGGGGGATGGCGGGAGCAGAGGGGAGGAGATTCCTGACTACTTCTGCCTCCTCTCTCAGAAAGCCAGTTCCTGGGGTCAGTTCATCTGACCTTTGCCCAGAGCCCTTGGTGAAGCGTGTCTGCGGGGGCTGCTCCTGAAGCCTCCCTGGCCTTCCTCCCCTTGTGGACATTCTAAACCTAACTGTCTCCGCTAAGGCTCGGATTACTTCCCATTTGTCTGGTTATATATAATCACAG